CTTATCAGATACAAAAGTTACATTTTTTGTTATACAGGTCTTGCTTTATCTTGGTCTTAACCATCCAGCAGAAAAGTATAAAAATGAGGTATATAAAGTAAAGCTATATTAATATGCTGGGCTGTAAAAGGCTCAAGTCACCAACTTCTGACACTGCCAGTCTTGCAGACAACCCACTACTATTACAGACTACTGGACTATATTGGATTACTGTGCTGAATTAACTCACCTACAATATATGAATAGCAATGGAATGCACATCTCAAACAAGAGTAAATAAAAAGGGAATATAAATGGACCATTCTGTAATAGAAAAAAAAATATATATCTATATATACAAAATAGCATAAATATACAGCTACTTTCTCTTAGTTCAATGAGAGGGTTTTGAACTAATAGTGTTTAGACAAGAAATCATGTCTGCATCTTGTACTAGGAATACCTACTATAAAGACAACAGTATGCAATGTATTAATTATTGTAACCATACTACTAACCTGTTTTGAAACTATATCAAAATTCAAACATGACAGCAATGTACTGAATAGTACATATTTCTTGAAGGGAAGCTTTAGCAAGATTTGTAACAATCATTATTGAAGAAACAATAAATCTTAGTTAAGTTTGTGGATTGTGACATTAATTTTTATGTTTTCCATCTAATTAAATATAATTTTATTTATAGTACAAGAATTTTTAAGTTAACTATTTTGCTACAATTCAAAGGCTCATTATTCTTTCAGTGTGTAGAATTACATAGGCATACTTAATGTTACCAGTTAAACTTTTATGGTGTTATGTGGCATACAAAGTGCCTTGAAACCTTAAAATGCATTATGTGAAAGTTTTTAGGTATTTTTCTAGTATCTCTTTTCTCCAGGGAAAGATCAGTTCTGTATATACATGGCATTCAAATGTTGAAACAGTCTCACGTCTCATTAAGCTACTTGGAGCTATAGAATTTCAGGTTTATTTTGATTTTCAGGTTGATTTTCAGGTTTAACATTATAATTTTAATGGTGAAATATACTTGGAGATATTAATTTATTTTTCAAAACTGCAACATAAAGTCTTTTTGTCCAGGTCTGAGTATACCCAGTGGTATGCTTTATATAACCTTACCTGAGATATATGTAAAAGATGAGAGGGTTTGGTTAATTCTAACTTAGCTGGAGCTTTTGTATTAGTTGAATTATTAGGCATACTAGATATCATATTAAATAAGTGGGAACATAATATACTAGTATTAGCTGTTCTTCAAACAGAAGAATATTTACTTCACTAGAAGAGTATTTGAGAGTCAATCAATATCTGCTAATCTTTCATTGCTAAGAGCTAAGTACAGAGTTCCCTATGAGGTGTTCCTTTTGGTGGTTACCCCAATTTGTATTTTATAACCAATGCTTTTGCATTTTATCTCTCAGGCCCACTCACTATTATTAAAAACATATTTGATAAGAGACAGCCTATGAATAAATGGCTCATCTCAGGCAGCACTTATGTCTGTGAGCATATGAAAAAATTTAAAAATATGATCACTACTAATAACTATTTTAGAGTAATATTTTAATTTTAGATAGGTACAACAAATAAATTAAGAGCTTGATATAATTCTGAAAGGTTAACATTTGGTAAAACAAATATTACTCTCTAGATACTGATGGTCATATCACAAATGACAAGGTGACTTATGAGAAGCCATCACGGCTGTCATTCTGCATTACCTCAGCACAGATACAAGCTGAGAGATGAGCGGTCCAGGACTTCTATTTGTCTTCTTTTTTCTGAAATATTCTAGGAGAGTTATGCTGCCAGCTTCACTGGGCATTTCTACTTTGAAATTAGAGTGACAAAATTTAAAAAGGGCTATTTATGCTTTATTCTTACCACGTATAGAGTGGCAAAGCAAAATGAAAGTATTTCCTCTTGGTTTTGTTCCCTCTGGGACCCTAAATAAAAAAACTAAAAGAACTCAGATTAAATTTTCATTTCTTCCTAGGAAAACATAACAGGAATAGAAGAAAAATAAACTATAATCTACAATTTCTAAGTTTATTTTAATTTGTTCTGATGTCACCAGAAGACAGGGTTAAAAAAGATGTCTAAGCCAATCAGAAAGAAATAAAAGATGGGGAATTAGTTAGGCTACATAAAGATCTAAATTGTTTTGAAATACAGAGAACAGTGCATGAATTATTTAATGGAATGATACTCAAAATAGTTGTAAAGTATAAGCCCAATAAGAGTGCCTTTCAATATGTAGATGACATTAGAAAACAAATATTGAAATTATAAATGGCATACTTTCTATAGGATAAACACATTTTCAAAGTTTCTCTAATCTTAGGGTCCTTCTTAAGTGTTAAATGCTAGCTTGTTAATGCATATCTTTACCAGAAACAGAGAAAACTATGTACAGAATTAAATTATGTATATAAGTTATATATGCAATAAAATTATGTATATAAATTATTTTTATAATGAAACAGCAATTATGTATATAATGAAAGTATATAAATTATGAATATGATACAATTATGTATATAAATTATGTATATAACATATATAGGAAAAGAATATTCTTACTTTTTAAAATACCAGAGAGCACGATAAATACCAAGTGCCCTGCACGTAACTCTTATGCAGCCTCATTTGTCACTATCAGGGAAAAGCATAGTAGCAAAGTCTATTTGCTATCTTATATTTTAAAACCTCATTGATGTAAGTGGATACACATAGTTAAGTAGTTTTAAGATTCTTGCAGCATTATAAAGCACCCATGGGTTGCTGCTAGTTCTGCACACATAAACAAACCACAAAAGGGGCAAATGAAAAGGACTGCACACTTAGCTCTCCTTGGCGTAACCTCTCCAGTATGCTTCAGCCATACCAATTGGACAGAAGATTGACTAACATTTTTGTTCAACTTAACAAGTTTCTGATTTTTAAGATCTTTCTTAGTTGTTGAATTAAGTAAAGGCAGTTGAAAAAAAGTCTTCACAACATAATTGTAGTGATATGTCTATACTCCAGTTTTTAGAGATTTTCTTACTAAGGATTAGAAATTAAGACCAGGTTTGGTTTTTTTAATATCACTCACTGAGACACAAAATAGTACTACCACATTTCCCTTAATTAGATATGCATGAAAGATGATTCAGGGAAGGAATAGAGAGAAAAAAGGGAGAAAAGGAGAGAGGCAAAGGAGGAGAGGTAGGTGTCTGAGGGAGAGATAGTAAGGAGTCATAGCCCTTGCACAGAGAGGTGTTATTTCACGGATACAGGAAACAGGAAGCTTGTGGCAGACCATTGGCCATTGGATGGACTCTTACTCCATCAAAGCCAAAGATATCTAGAGTTACAGAAATAAAATCAATTGGGATACATTTAAAGTAAAATTTGTACAATTTCAGGTGGAATGTTTGAAAAGAATTTGCAAGAGGCAGTTTTTGAAAGTTCCATTTTAGGAAGGAATTATCTGATCTGAGACTGATTTTTGCTATGGTCGTTGGGACAGTGGTTTGCAGAAGATTGACAAAACAAGAAAAAGACAGCATGGTAAAGAATAACATAAAACAGAGGCATTTCTTAAAAGTAGGAGTAGAATGTGAATTGACACAACATTAAAAAGTCACAAGCAGGCTTCCCTCAGTACCTTTCTCTTGGCCTTCAGCTGCTCATGGTACTTGTCGCAGGTGTCTCCTGGGATCTCCCCTCCCCACAGCGTGAGCCCCACAATGGTGTAGGTGATGCCCATGACGAGCAAGGGAAAGCAGTACACCAGGATGATGACAATGATGTGGTACCTGCAAGCAATAAAGAAAGCACGTGTAGGAAAATCTAAAGCTTGAGTTTATTCAGTTTGTAACCATGAAAAAAAATGCCAGAGATTACTTGGCTTTACTTCTACGTGCTCATTTTATAAATCTGCTAAAATATTATGCTGCTGTCAACTATTGTTGTTTCAAAGGCTGCAAAATCTTTGCAGGTCTTTATTTTGTACATGTAAACCAAAACTCAGGCGAAGTGCTTTTTTGATATGTACAAGTTTCTTTTACCCCAAATTGAGGCCGAATGCTTTTCCCCCACTTGGTGCTCTGCTTAGTAACTGTTGAGCTAAAGTACCAAAATATGACATCAAAAGAAAGTAGTGGGGCAGAATAATCCTTAGCACATAGTTTCTTCTATGTGGTACTATTGTACATATCTTGGCAACTTCAGACATATTTGAAATAAACTGATTTTCATCCAAATTAAAAAAAAATGTAACAAGGCACCAAAAAAGAAAAAAAAGAAAGAAAGGAAGAAAAGAAAAAGAAAAAGAAAAAGAAAGAGAAAAAAGAAGAAGGGAGCTAGGTACCTGGAACCATATTGAACACATAACACATACTATATTTTTAATCTCAAAAATCAGGTAAAGGTATTTGCAAGCATTTTCCCAAGGTCATATTGTGCTTGGTGGCATTGTTTATGTTGTAAATTAGCTGAGACCTGTTAGTCACACTGAAGACCTGATGCTGTCATTAATCAAATTAAATGTTAGGCTTCTCTATCTCTTGGTCAAAATTAAAAGATTTCAGTGCAGAAAGAAAAGCATAACTCATACTATAATAGCCAAATAGAATTTTATAATCTTTTTTATGGCTTCTATTAGAAAGATTTTATTTTAAATTAATTAAGAGCATTATTATAATAGTCTTAACACTTGTGGTTCTTGTAAAGTGAAATTTAAATCTCCTTACCTGTTTTCTAGTAGCTTAATAAATATTGATTTAAGGTCATTGGAAAGTAATTTAGTTGACAAACAACTTAAGAACGATAACATTATCAAGCAGCTAAAATGTATTAAAATAATGGATAAAGGACAGTACTTAGTTTAATAGCTGCAGCCTGATTTTCCTTCAACAAATGCCTTCGGATTGTCTCCTGATCCTGGATTCTAAGAAGACTAGAATTCGCTAAAATGATTGATTAAAAGATTTCCATTGTTTAAATCATTTGTTATTTTTATTTAATATCCTTTGATTTATATTTACTGAAATATTTTCGAATGTATTTTAATATTTATTGACATGAAAAACTTACACCTGCATACAAATCCCCTTCCAAAAACTCCTAATAATTTACATTTCCTGTTTTAAAAGAAAAAAAATAGGTAATAGGGCCGGCTAAACATCTCAGCAGATTAAAGTACCTGCAAGTACAGCAGGAGGCAGGGTTGGATCCCTGGGCCTGCTATACCGGCCCTGCCCTTAGGGCACACTGAGACTGGGCATGGTGGCGAGCACCTGTAATCCCAGTACTTGGGTGGATCACTATGAGTCCGATCTAGAAGTGAGACCCTGAACACCCGTAGGACCCTTCCCTAAAATACAAAAAAAATTAATTAAAAATAGAAAAAGTACGTTTTATTTTTTAAAAAATTTAAGTGATGACTAAGATTATAATCAATTACACACTTATGTCTTTTTTCCCTTTTGGTTTTCTTACAGTGGGTCCAAAATACAAAATATTAGGTTCTATCTCATAAGACTCCTATTTTCTTTCTAACCAATATTTGAGTTTCTTAATGCTGAAACAAATGAACACAAATCAGATCAAACCCAAACCAAATTGAAAGACCCAACAGGCCTTCCCGCCCCTCAGCCAGGCTTTTGAAAGGAGCAATCAACACTGTACTTTGGCTCCCCTGCTGCTCATTTCTCAATCAATATCAGCTCTGCTTCCTTCTGCACCTTCATCCTTTATCACTTTCTCTAGGAAACTCTGGGCTACTCCATATGGGCATCAGCGTATTTCTAATTAAAACCCTTTGTGACTTATACCAACTTACTGACTACATTGTACTGTGTTGTAGTGTTTTTACATACTTATTTTCCCAGAAAATATATGGGCCCCAAAGGACATCTCTGTCTTAAATGCTCACCCCCTCAAAAAATCTCTATTTCCCTGTCTTTGATAAGCTCAACTGAAAATCATAAGAGAGATTTAACTTACGTGAAATGTTGCTTTGGACCTTCTGGCCACTGCACATAGCACAGGGTGCGGCCTGGCATGACTTTGATTTTGGAATATAGACACTGAGGAAAAGCAAGGAGAAATGCCAGAATCCAGATACTTCCAATGACGATCCTGGTGGCTGTGGCAGACAGTCTGGGTTTCAGGGGATCAATAATGGCCATGTACCTGGATGAAAACAAATGGGACCAGCTCGTTGTTTGTTACTGGAAATTCCAACAGGATTTCAAACGTGTTTCAATAAACAGAAAAGATAGGAATAAGAATGTCCACTTCTTAGGGTATAGTGAAGATCAACAGAAATAATATAAGCAGAAGGTATTAATTATGTGGCACTGTGTATTACACATTATTGGAGATCATAAACATGTGCTGAATTGAATAGGAAAGCCTGAAGCCAGGTTCATGCCCTAAACCTTTATTTCTTCTTTGCTGGACTTTTTACAAAAGTTTGGAGATGTAATATGACTAATATGTAATTGACAAAGATAAAAGACTGCTATCAAGTATATGTTCAATACATTCATTTTGCATCAGAGACAGACAAATTCAGAATTGACATAAGGATGAATAAATCCAGTTTGACTGAGGCTGTATTTTCCTATTACGTACAAAATGAATTCACATTGCATCTTGCATATCTTCACGACATTCATGAATGTAACTATGTTTAGACAGCTTTTATGGGAGTATATATATTTGCATCTGAGAAAAATACCTGTGTGACTATTACAGGGAAGTTGAGAATTCTCTGGATATAAGAAGGGCCAAGTTTTATTCCTTTGGTGAACAAAGTAACTATATAACTCAGGTAAATAGCTTCAGTTTTAAATTGGATGTACAAAGATTAATTGCCAAGTATTGGTCAATGTTTAGAGAAAAACTGATATATAGAAAATGAATGTGGGCCAGGGATATAGCTCAGTAGCACAAGAACCTTCTTGGCAAGTGCAAGGTCCTGAGTTTGATTTCCAGTACAAACAAGCAAACCAAAAAAAAAAAAAAAAAAAAAAAACAGAGCCAGATTTCTCTGGCTGGCTTAGTTTTA